ATTTCAGTCTCTAGATGTGCAAAGCTGGTAGAGACATACCCTAAAAGACTGGCAGCTGTAATTGCACCAAAAGGTGGTTCTACAAAGTATTGACTGGCATTGGCTGAATAATTATGTGTACACCACTTTGTATTGGTCTTTCACATGGAATTACAATACAACTGATTCATGTTTGTGGCTGTAATGTGACAAAATGTGGAAAAGTTCAAGGGGGCCGAATACTTTTGCAAGCCACTGTATATACTTTCTTTTCTGTTTACCATGTTTATAGTTGTTACTTTAATATTAATATTTGTATGTTCAAAATAAATCATTCACTCAATCAGTCAACCAATGCTTTACTTGTAAAATATCAATCTTAATATTGGAGGTTAATCAATAGCAAAAACAAAGATAAACAGACACCCTATTCATCTCATATGACCCCCCACCTCCCACCCCAAAACAGATATAGCTGACCTTGACCTTCCCAGAGTTGTCTTCCTCTTCTTTCTTGTCCTCAAAATCGAAGGCCACAGTCATCCTCTGTTGTCTCTGCTCCTCCCACAGCGTAGGATTAAAGCTGTCGCTGTCCGACTGATAATCTGCACACACACCATAAATTAACAGTTGAGGGTTTAAAATTATAGTCAGGTAATCTTTACCTGGGTTACACACACACACACACACACACACACACACACACAAAAGGAGTTCGTACCCTCATCGTGTCGCGGCTGCTGGGGAAACATGTAGTTGGTCAAAACCTTCTGTTTGGTTTCTGGGTGGGCTTCTGTCTGCAGTGGGATCAGAGCCTTGGACTGCAAACACACACACACACACACACACAGAGTATTGTTGTAGGAACTTTTACTGATGACATCTATTCCATTATGTCTAATTTTAACCTGCACCTACCCCTTTTCCTAAAAACAAAGATTTCTGCCTGCTGCTCATTTAAAGCGCTCGCACAATCAGCTGCAGCAGAGCTCGACTTCAAACGAAACCTGCTGAGTGTTAATGCAAATCACTTGGGAAGGGTTTGCGAATCAATTTTCCCAACAGGGAAAATAAATGTTTCATTGCATTCGGATTACAAATATCACAACACATCCTAATTAAAACTGCATCAAGACATTATAGTTTACATTTTCTATTTTCGGATACAATGCTAGTAAACTTTTCTGTCTTCCTCGCAAACTTTAATGCGGACCGAATTCCCATGACGTCAGAGTCGCCACTTGTAATGCATCAAACAGCATGAGCGAATATGAGTTTCATTACTGAGGCAGAATATGCCGACATAAGTGGTGATATTAAATGTAAATGTGTGAACGCTCTGCCATTAAACAAATTGCATTTGAATTTTAAATTTGCTTTCCTCTTCAGCAGGTAAATAACGCTCCGAGCTTCTTGGGACTCTTGATTTCGTTTAATGGCTTTGATTGAACTTAAAAATAAAAATGCAAATGTCTCAAAGAGCTGAAGAACAGTTTGGCTGCTTTTTCTGAATGACAGCTAAAACTGCATCATCTCTGTGGACTCTCTGTGCTGTATATAGCGCATTCATCGCAGAGAGAATCAAATTCAGAGGGCCCATAAGATGATTCATTGCTATGTAGCATCTGTCTTATCACTGAGAAGACTAACATGCAGCAAACCCTCCACTGAAAGCACAAAATCAAGTAATTATCAGTTCATTAAAGTGTCTTTAAAAAACAAAACAAAGGAGAGAATAGTGAGAAAATGAACAGGAGCTGACATAAAATATTTAGCATGTGTATTTTCATCATTATCACCCTGTTGTGAATAAATCTCCCTATTTTATTGATTTATCTTTGCCACACCGTTTTGATAAAAAGCCATTAGAAATGAAACGCGACACTAATTGATAATTAACAATAAAAACCTTCCAGTGACAGGCAAGTAAAAAGGACCTGTTAGTGACTCATCTCCGTATTTATTCTCTCGAGCTCTGCCAGAGTTACTTTGCATCATCAAAGTGAAGAGTAATCCTTATTTGAACCTTGGTGCAGGCCCTTTCAGCTCCTTTGCCCATTCTTTTTAAAACAACTCTCTTTACTGACTGGTTAAACTGAGCAGCAGCCGTGAACAGCTGGTGAGATGAGCCTCTGTGCTCTGAGATGACCATGTTGGGGATATGTACTGTCTGACATTACACAGAGCCACGAGTAGAAGAGGTGGCTCATGGGTGTTACTTGTACATATGTTGACCTTATGTTAAATATGAGAACTCGGATATGTGATAGAAACTAAGGAAAGGATAAAGAGGTTGAAAGTCTATCAGAGAAACACAATTTTATAAAACATGCCATAGCATAGTTGTGGTAATTTAATTACAATGTCGATTTCGTTGTGTGTTTGTGCTGCACGTTTGTTAGCACACATTTGTTAGCTACGTGCTCTCTTGGAGAGCGTGGGCAGAGAGAAAGAGATACCTGATTGTCAGAGAGCCACAGAGCTGCCAGGTCCTTCAGCTTGGTGAAGGTAAACGGTAGATTCTTTAACCTAATCGAGAGAGACACACAGAGAGGGGGGGAGAGAGGGAAGGTGAGAAAGAAAAAAAAAAACAGAGATGTTTCATCACCCACGCACTGTACAGCCCGCAGAGCATATAACCATAGCAACACACTCAGCCATTCCCATGGAAACAGTAGACCGAACCGAAACGACCATTGAAAAAGTTTGCGCTTGTGTGTGCATTGTATCTATTCACTACTGAGTCATAAAGGAGCTTGGTCTCTG